CTTTAAAATTATGAAAGTTTATGATTAGATTAGTATTGTTTTAACTAAATTTAAGTGTTATATAATAAAAGAAGTATTTAGCAATGATGGACTCATGATTAACTATACCACAAAAAAATTATCATATAAGGAGTAAGCTTTAATAACTATAAAAGTATCATTCACTAATAAAATTTTGTGTTCAAGTCCCAAGATGCTTGTCAGGTTGACTGAACATGAAGAACAAAGATTGGTTTGTTTTTAGATAACAAAGATTGGTGTCTTCATCGATACAGTAATAGAATTGTAACAAATGGTGCTTAAGTTACACATTTAGGAGCTAAATGGATTCTTATTGAAATTTTTTTCCTAGTCTTCTCCAAAGGGTAGAATGCATGTGATATTTGTCTCATTTGTTCAAACCAGATGCATCTCTTAATGAATACCTTGCCACAACCACACTAATAGAAATAGACTATAAACATTAAGAATAATGAATAATAGTATTATTACGTGAGTCTGTGACTTATATATAGCTTCCAAATTAACAAAGTGCATTTGGTTTATAAAATGACAAACTAAGGAATTTGGTCTAATCATTTGTTTAACATGTGGTAAAATAAGATCATGTTGAATGTAACTAGTAGGCCAAATGACCTTTGGACATGGCTCCCATATTTCTTTGTTTAAAACTATAAATGCACAGACACATTAAATAATGAAGAAAAATTACATAAGTGAGTAGGCAGAACCCATTAATGTCTTTCTCACTTTATTATTTTAATGTATTGACTATAAATTTGGTGAGATGCAATCTTAGTTCTCAAAAGACAGCTTCAAGTAAACTTTTGAATCTACATCTTATTTTCTTGCAGGATATAATTCCATTATGTTTTTTATATAATTGTAAGTTTCCATCCACTTTTCTTTCAACATTAAGAATCAACCACTACTAGACTACAACTTTCTATCGATGTTGCCAAAAAGGAGATGACAGAGCCACATACTTGTTATCCAACCTCAGCAGCTTCAAAGCTAGGAATAGGCAAAGATTTACATGTGATCTCAAAGTTCAAGCCAAAGATCAAGATAGTTCATATTTATGCTCCAAAAATCATTAAAATTGATGTTGCAAATTTTAGAGAGTTGGTTCAAAGGCTCACAGGAAAGCCAAAAGATGAAGGAGGAGTTAGAGACAAGTCCAAAACTACACTGACCAAAGATCCAACCAAGAAGACCTTGATCCTGAAAGAAGATGAAGAGTTTTTGAGTATGCAAAATGGGACAAGGGTATAAAGTGAACATAAAGAGGAAGAAGTTGAGGATAATATATGGAGGTCAAAGTCAAGTGAGAAGTTCAGTGGTTTCCTTGATGGGTTCTCAAGATTGGATGGTTATATAGAAGAGTTATGTACGATAGTGAATCAAAATTAAGGCCTTGTTTTGATTGTTGTTATTTGTATAGATTCAAGATGTGCGTTGAGCCACTGAAGAACTGATGCATCACCATTGTAGATTGAGTACTGACAATGATCTTACTTCTAATAGAGTGCATGTGCATTGATTTCAATTAGTCTGATGGAAATCTAATCCCCAAGGATCCATTTGGAAGAGGTAAGACCAAGAAGGGTGAAGGTTGATCCATAATAGAGCTCACACTTGAAGACCATTTGGCCTTTAACTAGGTCCATGGTTAGGAGGCTAGAGGAGGTTTTTACAGAGGAGGTGCTTCTTAGACCTATGCTCTTCATGAGCATTGAGTATGATTCCTCTTATTAGTCCCTTACTCTCCATTGTATATATTTTGTATGATACTTGTACATAATGGTTACTTGTATAGGTGTATTTTGCCTTTATATTTGTGAGACACTTTCTTTCTTTTCTTATAGGTTATCCCTTTGGGATTTTAGGGTATGTTACTTAGAGACTTTTACTCCATTTGATCTTGTATTAAAGGTCATTGATTTTCATATTTTTAGTAGTAGAAGTGGAGTAAAAAATAGTAAAGTGTGTAGGTGAAGCTAGCAATTGGGGTTATAGTGGGCCTAAGCTAATTTTTACATATTGGGCTTGTTTTGCTCCATTTAATCCAAGGAATTGATTTAGCTAGATCTCACCCTCATTAGGTGAACCTAACTAAACCAATTCCAACATTTTTGGATTGGATTAAGTGAAGGAAAACAAGATGGGCCGCCTAGTTCTTCTAGCTTCTCCCACACACTTAGATAGCTTGTGCTACAAGCTTCTAGCTTAGCTTGATCCCCAAGCTTCTAAGTTAGAATATTGTTTCAAAAGCTTCCAAGTTACTATACCGGTCAGCTTGAGTGTAAGAAGGCTAACCATGGTTCTCCTTGAACCATAGTTAGTCTAGCTTGCACCACAAGTTTCTCCCTCACTATATAAGCTTTTTTCTTCACTTTGTAAACACTTTTGATGATATTATAGAGAGATTTCCGAAAATTGTTCAAAATTTTCTCTCTTCCAAAAGTCTCAACCTCTTTGATTTCAATTCATTTCTCTTATCCTCTTCATACAAGAGTGTGATGAGATTTGAAGTAGCTAATCTTCCTCCAAGGAGTGGCGCCACTTGAGAGTGTTCTTCACCATTGAAGGTGAAATTCGAAGCTTCTTCTTCCATTGGAAGCTTTGGAGAAGCTTAAGGAGAATCAAGGAGTCAAAGGTTTAGGGAGAAGCTTGAAGAGGAATCAACATCAATCTGGTTCTAAACCAAGTTTCCATCATAATCATTTTGATGGTTAAGAATTATAATGAGTATACATTAACATTACTTGCCATATAATACTTTGTTCTTTGTTACTTGCTATATAACACTTGTATTGTTAGATCTCTTTCTCTTGGTAATGATTGCTTTATAGGTATTTCACACTCTAGCAAGAAATTCTAAAATTTTGCACAATCAATTTTTCCAACTCAGTTATTTTTTTCCTTCTTCAGGCTCTTTTATTTTTTTTCCTTCTAATAATCATTCCATGGGGTGCACAAGGGCAATTTTCACTTTTGCTTGCTAACCTTTTTTTTGTTTTTTTATCAATTTACTTCAATTGAAAACAAATATATAATTCAAGCTTTGATAGTCTTGGAGCAATCATCAAGTCTCCATGTCAATATAGACTTGGCACAAGTGTTTATCTCTATATAGACTTTTCAAGAGTAATGTGCTTCAGAAAGAAACACGATTACTGTTTGAAAGTGAAATAAAGATTATTATAGGCAATAAATTAAATTTTGATTAGGAATGAAAAGGAATTTGTTGAAGAAAATAGATAATAAATATATATATATATATATATATATATATATATATATATAAATGTGTGTGCGTGCGTGCGCGCACGCTTAGTTTGAATTACGAAAATCAATAGTATTACGCTTTGACAACGAAAGAAAGATTATTTTAAACAATAAATTCAAATGTCAAATAGAGGATGCTTATTAGGGATAAAAAGAGATAAGAACTAATGAATGCTAAGAAGTCACCATTTGAAACTAATTAATAGTGACTAATTTTCATGACCGTAAACACATACTAGATATGTATTGTTTTCTTTATATAGTTTCTCATACTTAAGGCCAAAATTCAAATATTAAACCGTTTGGTTAAGAAATACAAGCCGCTATTACATGTCAACCAACGTTGATAAGGAATTATTTGAGATGGGATTCAATAATACAAACATTTCTGCATCTCTCAATTTTCACTCCCTTTCATAATACTTTTCCCATCTCTGATCATGGCCACCCTTCCAACGATGAAGACATGAGAAGTATGGTGCATGGAGTGGTATGTGTAATGCATTGTCTAAGCATGCAGTTCTTCCTTAAATTTTGTACATTGATGCTCATTACTTCTCATTTTCATCTTTCTGTGTTTCTCAAACAAAACCTTAATTACAACACAAGATAAGAACAAATAAAATTTATGCGACTAGAATATAGGACCAGCTTTTGTGTCAACCAGTCTAAATAGTCCACGTGATCATTCTTGGATTTTCCCGTTCATAGTAGTTTTGAGTAATATTAACAAAATGTAATCAGAATACACTTGGTTAAGTAGTATCGAAATTAAACTCATATTTTCTGCATAGAATTAACAAACAGTGCAATGAATTACTTGACGGGGTTTAAAAACATTGCATTCTTTAAACTATAAGATGCGATATCTTTGCGGGGTACAGTTATACAATGTAACACTTCAAAAATATTTGCATACCAAAACCATATTTTATGTATAATTACATATCAAAATGGAGTTTAAAATATAATATTCAAACAGGTCAAATAACTCTAGTCTAATCTCACTTCTTAATAAATTAATAATGATGCCAAATTCAGTTTGTAAAATATAACCCAAACGGGTTTGCGGGGATATGAACTGTCAACAATCCATTGGGATAATAATGATGTGAACAAAAAGTATACATACCATCATATGCTAATCCCAAAAAAATTCCCTCGAATCTATTCCGAGGTGAATGGAGTACCACTAACACATTGGCTTTTGTAGCTTTCTTTTAAGGTAATGGCAATGTTGACCTTGGATAGCAAAGTGGCTTTGACTTGTTTAGCTTTCTCTTCTTTTATTCAAGGTGTTCATAGCGTTGACTTTGGATGACAAAAACTCAGCACCTAAACCAGTTTATGTACAAGAATAATTCAAAACGGGGACAGACCACATATACAATTGCTTCAAGTTTGAAGCTTAAGCAAAAATATCATTTCGACCCCGGATAGGTCACATGATAAACGGTTATGCAAAGATAAAGAATGCACCCTTTTCTTAACGTTTTGTATACGAAATGTGCAAGAACAATCAAAATTGTCTGTTACCAGGTAAAATCAGCTACATGAATTAAACAATGTCATTGTCTTTTGTATAATTTAATTTAGATCCATTTTAACAATTTCACTTGTCTCTCTTGGTTTATCTCTATCCCTTAATGGGTTATTTTCCATCTAATCAGTTTTTTAGCTCAATCTTTTATTTATCTTTCTCTCAAATGTAGAATCATAATGCAACATTCTTGTCTCTATAACCCATATATATGAAATGCATTTACAATAATCAAGCCTTATCTCACTGTGCGAAATCAGCTACATCCATCAAACGACATAATAATAGATGAAATGCATTACTTTAAATTGATTAATAGACACAAACATATAACAAAATATTGATAGGTATAAGTGAAATTTTTTATCACCCCACATGGTGTGAGACTGACTATCAATGAATATCTTAGCCAATACTCAATTCAGGGTGCTTCTGACTGCGGCAGCTCTGGTTGCCTGATGTAAAAGCAATTTTATCAATATATGATAGCTGAAATAGAGACGAATCATTTGTGTGCCTCAGTAAATTGTAAAATAAATATTTTAAGATATTGAATGGATAGCATTTATAGGTATAGCATTTATAGGTAAAAAGAAAGACAGATGAACAGACCTTATCCACCAATATGTATCATAGGCCTATTAGCAGTCTTTGCTATGTCAAACATACCAGCATGTGAAGCTTTCTTCCTCTTCACCTGGATCAAAGAAACGGCAACATTAAGAAACATGATAGTACAAGACCCTATAAAATAGCTTAGCTAAAGTTAGCTGTACAATTTCAAGTAGTCTATGACCCACTATCGACTATTTTGCTAGAAAGCAATCACATATCTTGATAGAACTGAACAGAGACAAAAGGAAAATCATAGAACAGAAATGACTTTGTACTATATTATTCAATGGATGTGCTCAGGTCAATGTGGTCTAGAGGAAGGTGATACAAATAGCTACTTTCTCAGGGTATTTCAGAGACCCTGATCTCCCCCAAGTACCAAATGAGGCTAAAGCTTTCATAACAAGGTTCCATGCCCCCTCCTCTCTCTCCCTATGTACAGAAAGTCTAAGTGTGTGTTTGGTTTATCGTTTGAAATCCATTCAACGGACTTTTACACATTCCAATGCACTAAACAGAGAAGTAACTCTTTTGTCCCATTTGATTAAAAGCAAGTTATGTTGAACGTAACTTTTTCCCAAACACACCCTAAGTAATGCCTTTTCAGTTGGATGGTGGGGTGTGTATTATTCCCTGCTATGCTTCTCTTATTCCTAGAGTAGATTTATTTTATTAGAGATCAACTATCATACTAAATTAAAATAATGTGTGAATGAAATTCTATTCCTACATCATCATATTGAAGAGGATAATGTGGCAAAGAAATAAAAAAAACAAATTAGTAAATCATTTTAACATAATTTGGAGTTTTAACAATAAATAATAAGAGCATACCGCTGCCCCTATTATCTCCCTAAGTTCATGATCCTCAGCACCACGCCTCAAGGGATCTCTTAAACTAATCTGCAAGACAATAAGCCTATATAAGAAAATCACATAAATCTTTTGGTGAAGTTACAATTGAAAGATGCTTTATGTATTTGATGACTGATTTTTATTGTCCCTGTCAATGTCAATATCCATACATAAAGAACCTTTAACTTGACCATAATAATGGTATAGATAACATCTCTAATGACCAGCATGTCTTGTATGAGGAGAATGCTTATCAAGTACAATGAATGGAATATTTTATTATGCGCTTACTTTCAGCACCTTTCGAAAAAAAAAATGTGAGCTAAAACTCAAGTGGAAGCAAAGATGAAGTAAACAACATGCTAGAGCAGATAAAAACAAGGTTAAGAATCCAAAAGATGGATGATAGTACATCTAAGAAATTATTATAAGTAGGGTTGGGCACGGATTGGATTTGGAACATATTTTTATCCAATCCGATCAAATTTAACGGGTTAGATTGGTTTTTTTTTGTTTTTCAGTCTCCAATCCGATCCAATCATATTGGGTTTGGATTGGATCGATTTATTGGATTTATCCGTAAAATTAAAAAAGTTTTAAAATAATCACATAAGACAATTTATAAAATATATTTTCATATCATCAATTTATAAAACATTTAATATTATAAACTTGTTTATCAACATTATAAAGTAGTAAAGTACTACTTAAAACATTATAAATATCAAACTTAAAAAAATAAAAAACATCATTATATTAAAACTTAAATCTACCCAACACCACAATCTACATTTCTATCGGTCATCTTCAACATTACAAACTCAATAAAATATCTACAACATTACAAACTTAACAAAATATCCCGTGTTACAACCAACACCGCAAAAACCCTAATATGCAATTGGTATTCAACTTTCACGAATGAAAAATACTCACAATGATGCAAACAAAAAACTTGAGTTTCATTTTTGTCCTTTGATACTAAATGAATGGGTCGGTTTCAAACAAAAAAAAATAGGTTGAATGGGTCACTTATCCTTTCTGTCTTTTATAGTAGCCTAAATTTGATAACCTAAAATAAATATAATAAATGAATAATAATAATAATAATATGAATTGGATGCATTGGTTTGGTTTGGTCCCTAAAAATCAAAATCCGAAATCTGAACCAAACTAATTGGATTTCCGATTTTCAAATCCAAACCAATCCGATAGTCCGAACCTATTGAGTTTTAATTGGATCAAATTCATTAGATCATTGGATTGGATCAAATCCACGACCACTCTAATTATAAGGCATCAACTAAATGGAATATCAAATGAAATAGAATGGTGATGTAGAAGAGGAAAGGGCGAGGAATTGTATGTTCAATCCCAAAACATGAACACAATAATTCAGGACTTAATTGAGTTAGAGATCATCTAATTGCTTAATAGATCTTCCTCCAATGCAATTCAATGCGATGAATTTATTTGCTTGACTGGCCGAAAGATTATACCATCAAACTCAATGTCACTTAGTCATACAAAATTTGTAGTAATTCACAAAGCACTCATTATTGATTAAACAAAATAGTAAACCAGAAAATAATAGGAAGAAAAACAAACATCACTATTTTACAGAGGTAATCTGGAGTTAAAAAGCAAACAAATAATTACACATTCCCAAGTTGTGGCTTAAAAATGAGGATTGGTTTATCTTCACACTGCATGAGCAAAGGATAGAACATGGTCTCATTTGTTAAATTGACTTTACTTGGGGGACGTTTGATACATGGCAAATTTTTTATGCTTGGGAATCATAATTCATGAGAATAATAAATCCTAGAAATCATGATTCCCAAGTAGGCATGACAATCTAACCCGTCCCCGTGGGTACCCGCCCGATCCCGTCCCGATTTGGACGGGGAAAACCCGTGTTTATCTGGTTCGGGTTTGGGTTCGGGTTTTCCCCGATTGATGAAATCGGGGGCGGGGGCGGGGACGGGGATGTTAATACCCGCACCCATACCCGCCCCTGCCCCCGCCCCGCTTAATAATATAATTAAAAAATTATTTTTATATATATATAAACCAAAATTATAAATATTTATATGTAAAAATTTATATTATTTTACTTTTCTTTTATTT